TTTTCGTGTTACCATTGCCAGAACTCTGAACTTTACTTATTTGGCTCTGTGCATTAGTGTTCTGATTGGATTGTCCTGTGTTGCTAGTTGCGAGTAGAGCCAACGTCTCTATATATTTACACCCGAGTGCTCTTTCTACAACAATTTTCTCTTTACCATAAGTAACTCTTGTCAATCTCATTGTGCTACTTTTGTTAGCAATGTCTTAACAATGCTCAATAGCAAAGTAAAACATGTGTGTTTTGGCAAAGATTCATAAGAAAATGCAAATGCCGAAGGTTACTTTCAAGACCCTTGTGTAAAAATGTAAGGACAAAGTACTTGTTCGAATATAATATATTGCGGTATACTATGACTGGCGAGTTGGGTATTGGGAAGTCAAACTGCCTGCATCAAATGAATGAATATTCAAATCACATATCAGGTATACACAGAATAAAAGTACATTTTAGAGGCAAAGATACTCGCTATTGACTATCGTTGGTAATTAAAACCAACCATTCCATTTTCTCAATATTGATAAATTTACCCAAAGTGCGCTTTGACCAGCTCTTTTGGGACAATCGTTCACAGTATTAGCATATTCACTTGGTATGCGAATGCCGTGGCGCCGAACCCCACCTCCACCGCTCTCTCCAAGCTGCTCTTGCTCAAATTCTCAGATCAAGAAATCTTGAGCTACTGCACAATCCCACTCCAGACATATAACATTCTGGAGTATTCTGTGCTAAGAATGCAGGTGCAAGCACCCCCGCTTTGTGCGCTGCTGATGTGTACTTTGAATACCGTTCTGATCGCCATGTACATCAGCGCACCTCAAGAGTATTTTATACTGCTCGATACATCACCACCACTCCTATCAATAAACCACAAAGACGCTTAGGAATGTGGCACGGTTTCTTCACGAAAGATCATGTCTACTCCTGGAACATTTTAGATAGCACTCCTGCATTGAGGTGTGCCATTGCACACAAGTAGTCCTCTGATAGTGCACAGAGTAGATCGCAACATCTGGACGGGTTCTGCTCCACCTAGTCTTTTGTCCTTGAATTTACCACTGGACATTTGTCTACTGAGCTTCTTCATTCCATCGTTCACACGCCGTTCTTATGGAATTCCTGCTCCACTGCGTTGAGCTTTAACCTGTGACCAGTCTATTGATGAGTGAAGTCCATGCGGCGAAAACAAAACCGACCAAGTTGCAGATGTGGCATCGTGCACACACCCCTTGATTTCTGCAAGCCAACGGTCGTTTGTTTAACCCCTTCACATTGTATTTATATTTTAACTCACGCCAGCTTACATGTAATGCCACTGCCATAAACGTTAAGTTTCAGATCATATTTCCCTTGGCTGCTCATAGCATACCATATCCAGCATGTACGCCCATGCCAGTGTCTGTTTTCTTTGGACATGGCAATCCTCATTTTTATTCATTATGAACGGCTTTCTCACTCATAGAACTACTCACTGTTTCTAAAAGCACGCATGACGGGTCTTTTGCAAATTTTGACAAACCCACATAAATAGCCTCGAGTCTAGGAATAAATTGAGTTGCCTTCGACATTTTACTTTGTGCTTCTTGTTAAAACAACATGGTCTAGATGGCCTGTCCATCTGATTATGTGCATCTACAATGAACCTTTCGAGAACCGGTCATGGCTGTTGTTGGCAAGGGCATTTGCCGATATACTATGCCAAAACTCTTGAATAAAAAGAAAAGGGGAAAGACCCAAATAATTATTTAACTTTGATTCTGCAATGCCATCATATAATGACGTAGCTATAAGGTAACCGCATGTGGAAAATTCTAGCCGCAGCAGGTGCAATTGGTTTTGCAATTTTTAATCAAGAGGATTCAAACAGATGGACTGTCGAAATTCAAGACATCCTGTTGATGCAATCTGATCTTATCTGTTTTCTTGTACGCCAGAGTGCACTGTGCTGACAGAATGTAGACGCAGTATTATTTGCATTGTAGGTCTTGACATATAAACAACAGTTACAAGACAAGTTTCCACCCATCGGTCAAAACTTACTACAGCACACATCCAGATATAAGAGGCAGAATTTTTGATCAAAAGGGCATTCGCACCAGAGTGTTTTCCATTCAACTATCAGTGCACTCTCGTATAAATTTTTGACAGTCTTGGGAAAATCAAGCCAGGCCAATTTGTTTTATGCGTTAAGCATTGAGCAATACCTTTCACACAGACTCTGGTTTGTTGAGCTTTATTCGACCCAAACATTTCGCAGGATTTGTCCGTGGAAACAAAAGCTGTTGGTCTTCTCTTGCCACTTAATAAAAGTCCAGAGAACACAATGCAATCGTAGTTATGTTGGGGCAGAGGGCTATTAAGAAAACTGACATTCCAGCCATCTATACTCTTAAGAGAAAAAGAACGCACGATGCGGGTTTATATGACACACATCCAAACAGCCTAATATTAGTATTGTTTGTTTGGTTGTGGGTCTCATTTTTAATACTATTTTCCATTTGATGATGATTTCTTTGAAATATCCATCTTGTGACAATATGTTGCAATCGAAAATAGCATTCGAAATCACAAGACGTTGTGAATACATCTTTATTAGCAAGACCAAATTTTGCGTAAACATCATGTGCATCTTTGATGATTAGTCTAAATGTTTATTGTTTGAAAGTGTTTTTGTAGTCAAGGCTGGCATTCACATCACTGTATGGGTGTTATATTGGACCACGGTTTTTAGTCTACACCCAAGCACCATTATAAAACACCAATCCCTTCAAAAGAGGGATTTGAGCACTAGACTCATTTTATTTACTGCCTGCAGATATAAAACAATTGTTCCGACAAAGCACATGTGCACTGCAACTGAAATAAAACTGAGCCTAATTATATAAGACATTGGGTGGTTAGACTAGTTCCTCAAATGCATCAAAATCTCACGATCACCTTTTCGGCGCACTCAAATGCACCGTGATTGGCTTCCGACTGTATCAAAGATATTAGAGCTATTCAAAGCACAGCCATTTAGTTATTATAATAGATGGCGAAAGTCCACGCAACACTTCTCTTTGAACTCTTAGATGAAGCCTCACGCTTCCATAGTCGGCGGTGCCCTGCAGTTGTCAAGCTAAGAGATCACTTTGTGAAACTCAATGAATTTTGGCCATCATGGTCTATGCATATGTTCGTGATATTATCCGAATTTCTTATATAGAGGTGGTCGGTTGGTACAGACTGTGTGACTTGTGTTCATAAGAAAGTAATCGCAGGGATCCGTGGAAGTCACTGTTGGCTGCGTTCAAACAGGAATTGTAGCTATAGATCGGAATGTACTCCACATATCTTAGCATTTGCCATTGTGTTTCTTTCTATTTTAAGGAACAATGCTTTGATAATGGCGTGCTTGCATCAACATTCTCCTGTGGTTCTTTATTATTGGCATTATTTCAAGTTGGAGTCTTGTGCTTTGTTTTCAAGGTGCAGCTGCTGTGCCAACACTTCCATTCCAAGCAAATGATCTATGGTGGAACAAAACACGCCAAGCACACAACTGGGCAGAGAGTCTAAAGAGTATATTTCTGTGCCAATACAAACTACCATCAAGATCTAAATGCTGGTCGATGATCTTCCAATGTATCACACATCAATGCACCTATACTTGATATTCCCCTGGTTATGCAGCTACAACCACTTTATTAATAATTTACTCATGTTCTCGTTAAAGGAGTGTGCCTGGCATTTCTTTAACGACACCGTTCTATCTAATGATGATAGACAAATTGTTCTATTGTCTTGGGGACTAATTTTGAAACTTGCACAAACCTATACGACTGCACTTAGCGTACTTTGTTAATTTTGAAGTCGCGATGATTCTCGTGTTGGTGAGGTATGTTAGCCCTTGGTGAGTTTCACCCACTTTTGAATACCACTGGTAAATTGAACAACCATCGAATTCGGACATTAAATACACCTGGAAGAAACGGAAAGTGCCAAGACAATCGCTACTGATAACATGGACTTAACTAATTGCATGCATTGGCGTCATTCTCAGTGCCATACTTCCTGGCGATGGGAGTCTATCACCGCAAGATCCCGGATGTTACCGCAAATGCCGAAAGTTCTGCAGCGACTTATAGGCCAATGCCTTCTCTTCTCGCACCACTGTGCTTGGCACTGTTTCCGTCTGAGACCAAAGAACCAAAATTAAAGTGATGGTGACTTTTATTAGCGGCTGCCGCAACCACTTGACCCTTGTCTTATAAACTACATAATGCCGGCTTTGATACTAATGTAAACCCCAGAGTTGTGTGATTATATTTAGCCAGGACGACTATGTTCTTGATTGCAATACGGATGCCAATGGTGCACTGGGATATGCATCAGCACAGAATTGAACAGGGATGTGATACTTTTTTCCTACAACTGCACTGGGACTGCTTCCAAATCTGGGTTCCACAAACATGGATTTGCAGAACAAAATTCGACCACACCTGAAGTTAATGTATGGAGCATGGAGAGTGTAAACTTTTGAGAACAACATCAGGCTTTTGTTAAACACCCAGATGGTTCGCCAATCACACATGTATGTTTAACATTCCATTTTGATGTACAAGATGTATTGTCAATGTTGCAGAACAAATACAAAACCTTGCAGCTAGCACTAGTACCAGGCACTTTAAGCTTGACAAGAATTCCTAAAATAGACACTAGAGTGTCAGGTATCTGTGTGTGATTGGCTAGTGGCAATGCCAGGCACTTCCGTTGAGAGCCTATACTTATTAGGCTTGGTGCCGACATGGCCAAACCTGCCATGGTGTGGTTGGTATGTATGCTGTGCAGAATGGATGCAAACACTGTCTGCCAAGACGAAGAACATTTTGTCAAACTTACAGGTGAATTAAAACAGCAACCCTCGAGACTCAAGACTTCCCCTCATCCCATTCCACCGAATTGCATCCGATAGTTCTGAACTGTAGTATTGGCAGTCATCTGTGCATTGAGTAGGTTACGTAAATGGTATGGTCCGATGGATTTGAACAAGATATTTCAGAAGTTAAAAATTGATAATTGGAAGCCATCTCAATTTCTTTGGTATTATCAATATGATTTAAAATATTTGCATTGTGTCATTATCTTGGGACTTTGTGAAATGCACCAGCCTTGAATTTTTAATGTCTCAGTTGTAGATCTCTAACATCCGAAAATGATAGCGAAGGCTTCAAAACATACGAACCAAAATTTCAAGCCCATTTGTCTAATCCAAGGCATATTAATAATTGAATATTTGGCATGATATTTAAAAGATACTTGCATAATTTATGTCACCATTCGAAGCTTCCATAGCATAGTAGACAATGTGTGAGCATTTGTCAAACAAGACGGTAGATCTTAATGCGTGTATGAACCGGATGTTTGGGTTGGCCCGTTACGGAATAAGCTAGTAAGCTGGGAGTTTTTATGATGCGCATTGGGGCATGATGTATTACTCGATTATGCCAGGTAAAGCACAGATATTGCCTGATGGAGGTTGGCGTAGATCAATTCAGCATACGCAATATGCATGTTTGCAACAGATCCAGTTGAAACCGCCACATTGTCGATGAAATTTCTTTCAACATGCATCACACGATTCGAACTAGGCCTAAGAGAATCAAGAATGGTTGCGAAAATTCAAACAAAAGAGCCAGCCCATTGGCAATTGAAATCAAGGCCATTTTACATTGAGGTTTCGGAATGTATTTTGATTTACTTGTTAAGTCCAACATTTCCCTTATTTTACACCTGTTCACTCACCAACAAATTAGTTCATCAAACCATTTCAAGCTATGATTGTTGCATTAAATATATTGAGTGATTGGACCCAATGGTAGGTAAGGGTATGTATTCTGTTTTCAAAGTCAGTAAGCAATATAATAGTTATGAGACTGGCTGCAGTCTAAATAAATTTATCATACAAAATCATAGAGCAAGCCTCTTTAAATAAAACTCGGAACTGTCCGGTTCTGTTTTTGCATGAAGCAGATCAAGAGAAGCAAATCATAATGGCGAACATACCATCTATGGAACAGACGTGTGCTCTGTTGAAATACCGCAACACAACTCTTTTATATTCTCACCACAGCGGCCTTTGTACTTTCTTATTCCAATATGTCTTGAGTATATACCGGTATTCATAAATGTCATTCCCAATATTCTTTGCACACCTTTTGTCTTGCAGCATTGAAGCAAACTCAACAACGAACCTCTTTATTAAATAGATCTTCCAGAGCAACATCAACAATGCCATCTTCTGTCACACTATACTTTCTGAATGAGCACCATATCGTCTGATGGATTTTCTCTTTTGAGAATGGTCTTTCGCTTTTCAAATAAGTTGATTTGGCAGATCTGTGTTTCTGCACCATTTTTGATTTCCCAGGAGTGACAGAAATACGCTAGAATGTAGATTTCCAGCAAATATAAGTTGACTGTAGTGCAGGTTTACAAGACGATCATGGCATTAACGAAAGACGATACGCAGCGCTCACAATCATTCCAGAACACACATTAAAAATAAACCCCGAGTATATGCCATTGCCGATATGATAAAAGAATTGTGCTGGAATAAAACATAATTGGGAATGTCCACAACATTCTTGAATAAGGAGCCCATCATAGTTGGCCTGATTTAAGGTCTCTGTTCGCTTCAACAAGACTAATGTCTGGGTATAGATTCACGAACAAACCCTAGCATGTAGATGATGCCTGCGGAAACTCATCTTGTGATATGAATTCTCCTTGAATGAATGGCATTGGATCATAAAAGCTCGCCGTGCCATGTCATACCCAAGCGGTGTTTGAATTAAATCATTCAGTATGGTTCACCCAATTCCAGTACATGGAAATCTGCATGCATTCTGTGCCTTTTCCATACCAACGATGGCATCCACATCTCAGGCCACGGCGCATGCTAAAAGAGCAACGGACTTGTGAGTGCATTCATGATTGCCACACATTCATCTGAATTCGTAAAAATAGATGGGCAGAAGAGATGTTTGCTTTACAGTAGTAGACTATTTAATGTGTATGTGATTTGGTTACTGGACCCTTGTATCACTTCTAAAACGATTTGGCAAGGTCTCGTTGGTTGGCACAAATATAAAAAGAAGATGCATTTAATCTCAGCTGGTATCCAAAAGACACTAGTTTGTTGTGAGAGTGCAGATATTCCAGGCATCTGCAGTCTCAAGATTATTTGAACGCTGGGCAATACGTTTGTGCGATGTTAATGATATGATTGTGGATCTTGGTCTGTAGTGATATCTGAGCACTTTTTGCCACATACAACAATAGAGATTCTTCACACAAGGCTTAATGCTCTTAATCTAGTCTCTAACAGGAATTTCTCTAATGACTAGTCTTATGTTGTGAATCAAGGCCAGGCCTATACATTGTGGGGATCCATTTACAATGTTTATCCTGATGCATTGATTTCTAGCTTCCTTGTTCTTTGAATCGGCCAATTCGCAGGGCTGGTACTTCCTTGATTTGACTCGTCTTTTCACAAAATAATATTTAAGATATCCGCATGCAATTGCCAGTCCAATTATATTAAAGACATGGTGTAGGACTGTATATCATGCCATACACTTTGAATTAACAACAAGCAGTTTCACTTTTCTGTAATGCAACTCCGAACGATATGCCTATTAATGTTGAGTAAAACCAACAAACATTAGTATGTCTGGAGTTGATACCATCCAATTAATTACTGGTGCGGAAACATGTATCTAAATAATTTATGCAACACCCTGATACAATGCCAGAGAGTGATTTTTCTGGGCTATAGACTCTACACAATCAACTGGGTCGACCTACTAGTTAGTTCATTCGCTTCATGCACAGCTTCCACTTTGGAAATTGCTTGCTATTGTATATCATCTGTGCTGCAAGATGGTGCTTGGAAACATGTGTTGGCCAATTGCACCCAATATACTCAACTGTATTGAAAGTAGGCGTTTGTAGCTATGCTCAAGCTTTGCTTAACCACAAGCAGGAATACCACAGCCCAATTCGTCTAGGTTGCCAAAGAAAATAGTCTTTTCTCAAGAACGCCTTGATGCGCTTTTATCGGTATATACATCGGAGAGGGATCATCTAAGCATTGGCCATGCAAACATCATGTCTTTGGTGTTCTGATTCAAATGAATAATTCCGACATTAAAGAATGTCTAGTGACTAATGAAAGGCATACCAGAATCTTTCTTGAGCATTGTATTGATGTTGTTGATGGTAAGCTGAGTGGTGTCTCTTCTATTTCTCAACAATCTGTGCAAAGCCCATTGCTTACTTGGCTTTGATGCAAATGGTGTAAAGCATAGCTTAATAAAGACAGGCAGCAATCCATTTTTATTATTGGAGTGGCGGGTGGTTGGCAGAAGATTTTGGTTAAGGTTGACCAAACATGAAACAGCCGTGCCGTTTCCCAGGACATTGATGTATTTGCAGATCTCGCATATTCCATTTGAGATTGAAAGATACACGAGTGTGTGAATTCTGACGACTATCCACTTGTCGAGCATTGTACAACTTTGTCTTGGAGATTCAAAATTCACATCTCAGGTTCGTGCCAAAGTGCTTTAGACATTAGAGCAAATGGCTGAAGCAGCGAATATTGATTAAATTTCTTTTTACTAGACCTCTTCGCTTTCTACAAAGCTGTTCGTTTTCGGATGAGTGTGGGGAGACACGGCATCTTCGCATTTGATCGTTACACTTGTGTCTAATATATCAGCCACAGGCTGTTCCTGTAAACCTTGACTTTTATTATTCAAAGCACCGTTCTAATGTTTTCCTCAAACTGGCTGTAGGAAGTGTTTGCACTGCCAGTGTGGCTCCACATGATTTTATCATCAAGCTCCTGGTCTTGAAGTTGGATAAAGTTCGCTTTCGAATATGTAGGCGGTTTTGGTGCAATTCTAATATCGCTTCTGATGACACTACTATTTAGCACTTCTGGTTTGTATAGGAAATCTAGACTGTTTTTATGTCATACAACCCCAATACATTTTTATTTTCTATTGGCCAGTGCTTTCATCCGAACCGTACGTTTACATGGAGCTATGCATCATTTCATGATATGCCTTCTAATCAAAACGATGCCAACTTTTATCCACAGCCATGGTGAAGCCCCATCGACAAACCCATTGCAAAAAACTACAGGACCAGTATAAATAAAATCTGACTGAAGACATCTGTCAATCCTTGCCCTCTTAACATCCCAAAGATATCATTTCATTTATTTATTAAATTTTAGTGAGAGCAAGAGCTGAATTTAAAGCATAACATGAAGATGGCAGTATTTAAAGCCAAGGCCCACCTTGTTGTCGTGGAAAATATTTAATATATTTTAAATTATAGCATAGGACTTTGTGCTGTGTTGGTTAAAGCTATGAATCTAAGTTCAAGGTAGAAAGTGCAATAAAACACAACACATCCATTTGTGTATATGCCACTTTGCTATCTGCCCCTTCATTTTTCTTTGAAATAGCGTTATTCAAATTTTGCAATTTAACCGTTGCACTAGGGATACTGCACAATTTTGAGTGGGGTTGGGTTGATCTAGAAATCATCACTTTCGTCTATACTGATCAGCTGCACTTCCTTTTATAAGAGTAGCCCATCGGCCTTTGGAAAACTGCCGGAATTGGGAAATAGTTCTAAACCCTGCCAAATATCAATTTACACATAACTTTAATCTCACAAGAGATGAGATAGCGTTCACAAAATAATTCGGATTCATTTTGTTTTCTTTGCAGGTGTCTTAATTGACTCGCAATGCCTTAGAAAATCGAAACTACGACCGTCTTCTACCAAATGCCATTTAAATAACACCTAGATGATGATCGAGTGCATATACCAGTAGTTCAAGTTTTGCAGATGACAGGATTCGGGATGCTTTCCATTGTTCTTCGTTTCCTCACTGTGGCAGACTGTGTTTTGGCAAGCCGGTTTCTGATGATCACCTACATAAAAATACAACATATTGACCAGACGGTATCAGATGGGATGTCACATAAACACAAGTATTTTGTGCGTTTAATGAATTTAAGTTGTCAAAATACAAATAAAATCTAGAGAGTATAGATGAAAACACACCTATCCAGTTACACTACGTGCCAATATAAATTCAATATCACATTGACTATCCGTTTAGGAAGCACTGTCTGATAACCCTCTTGATCAATAACATTAAATTACCTTTCATCATTGGTCTTGGTGTGTTACTATGTAGATTTCAAAATCTATTTATTCTTCAAATACTGCTTAAGAGCCTAGGGG